GCCATTGAAAGCCTTATAGAGCACAGTTCTACTCTGACACATGAAGGCTCTCTACAAATCAGAATCAGCTCAATGGCTAATGGTTTTTGGTTTAGATGCTAAGTAGAGTGTTAGGAGCAAGTGAGAATCAGTTAAGATCTCACGGAGCTTGCAGTCTAGTGGGGCAGACAAGCATGGAATGAGTTACGATAGATGCAGTATGTGTTACAGCTGGGGAGGGTGGGGTGCCATGGAGCACACCAAAGGGGAACACATTTAGTCCACTAGTGAGTATGGTGGTTAACAGCACAGGCTCTGCAGTCAGGCAGGCCTGGGGAGGGATTCTAAGTTAGCCACTTAGTAGTGTGTGACCTTGGGCAAATTACTTAACCTTCCTCTGCCTCTGTTTCCTCATCTGTAAAATGGGGACAATAATAATAAGACCTTGTTATGGATTGAGTTGTGTCCCCCAAAATATGTGTTAGAATCCTAACCCCTATACCTATGGATGCAATCCTGTTTAGAAATAGGGTTTTCTTTGTTATGTTGATTAGTTCATACCCAGGTAAGTGGGTTCCAAATCCAATCACTTCTGAGTTGTTAAAAAAAGCAGATGAGACACAGAGATATGCAATCACTGCTGTCATCAAAAATTATTATTAGTGTTTAAAAGAATAACAATGCATATATAATATAAATACTACACTTGATCCTAGCACAGTGCCTGGTACAATCTAGACAGCCAGTCAATGTCAGTTGAATTAGAATAAATGCATACAACGAGCACATAATAAAATTGCTTTTTTCTTGATAATTTTAACAGGAAAACTTGGGAATAAACCAATCTTTTAGAAAAGGTATCCTCTGAGACAATGGTTCTCACCTGGGGGGGATTTTGCCCCCAGCGCACATTCAGCAATATCTGGAGACATTTTGATGGTCATGTCTGGGGGAGGGGGTGCTACTGGCATCTTGTGAGTAAAAACCAGGGATGCTGCTAAACATCCTACAGTGCACATGACGGTCCCACACAACAAAGAATTATCCCTTCCAAAATGTCAATAGTGCTGCTCTTGAGAAAGCCAGCTCTAAAATACACACACACACACAGCCACACACACACACACACACACACACACACACACACACAGCCACACACACAGACATAGAAACACACACACAACACACACAGCCACACACAGCCACAGCCACAGCCACACACACATAGCCACTCACACACACAGTCACACACACAGCCACACAACACAATGCACACCAAAAAACCCAAACCTAAGGTCTTGTTAGAAAGGGAATATGGGCTCCAGAAGCCTGTAGATATGTTATTTTTACTAAATATTAAAGCTGGTTTATAGAAAGGTAAACAAAGCACCACTCCCTTCATCACTCCCAGAGCTCTCTGACCTACTTCAATAGTCAGTCTGTGTGTGAAAATTTTCCTTGTGTGAAAATTTTTTTGACTCGTCTTGAAAGGAAAACGAAACAAAACTTTAGAATATTATAGAAACTCTTAGAACTTTGTTACCCAGAATTTTTTACTTTTCCTCCCATAGCCTTTTATCAAATATTCAAAAAGCCTGAAGTGCAATTACCTAGTTTTTATCCTATCTACCACATTTCTCTGTGGTTAGGCTCATCCTGCTCAAATTTTAAATAATTTAAAACAGCACAAAAAAACAAGATTCCCATGAAGACCTAAACATAAAATCTGAAGCATTTTTCCCCCAACAAAGCCAAAGTCGTTCTGTTCTGAGTCCACATTGACCCTGACACATGCGTCCTTTAAGCTCTGTAGAAACTAATGAATAATGAGCAAGTTTACATGTCTGTTTTCCTCACTAAACGTTGAGCACCTCGAGGCAAATAAACTGATCAATTTTCTTTTACCTCCACTTCCAAGCCCAGAGCTTGGCTCACAATAGCTGTCAATAAATAGTTGCAGAATGTGTATGACAGGCTGACCACCTGAATTGTGGTTAGCAATAAAAGGTTTGGCACTTATTTGTCTCTGATATTTTCCTGCATTCACTTTTGTTCTCTCTAGGTATTTTAGGTGTCCACTCTCTCCAGCCATGGGTAAAAGAACCCAAGGGTAGAACCATGGCTTATACTTTTATTGTAATTTTTACTGATTGTGAATTGGGAAAAGTGCTAAAATCGCCTCCAGGAGGATTCTCAGTCCGCAGAGTGGAAAAAGATGAGGAAGAGGCTTAGCAAACTAGTCTTTAGATACCAATTCAGGTGTGCTTGATAGGCCATCAAATTAGTCTGGCTTCACAGGCCCAAGGCTCAAAAGAAATGAATTGGAAGACTTTAGTGAGCTTTGCATTCTTCCCCGAAACACAAACTGCCTCCTCTTCTTTTTCTTTTTTCCATTCGTAGTGAAGGATATTGCCTTGAACTATGTTAAGTTCTTAGCTTAAATTTTCTTTCCTAGTATTTCCAAATCTATAAATAGCATATAAAACACAAACCCATTACCATTGAGTCAATTCCCACTCATAGCCAACTCTATAGGACAGAGTAGAACTGCTCCACACAGTTTCCAAGGCTGTAAATCTTTATGGAAGCAGATTGCCCCATCTTTCTCCTGTGGAGTGTCTGGTGGGTTGGAACTGCCAACCTCTCGGTTAGCAGCCGAGCGCTTAACCCACTGTGCCACCAGGGCTCCTAAATAGCAAATAAAATATATATTTTAAGGTAGAAATAGGTAAGTAGGTAGGTAGGTAGATAGATCGTTTAAGTCTGCTTTTAGTGAGTGTACTGGAGATAAGAGAAGTAAGTTGAGGAAATAATATCAATTCTGGTTATCTGGTTAAAACTGAATATATAAGTCAAGGGTATTACATGTGGATGCGGGGCAAATATATTAAGACTTGAAATTTTTTTTTTATTGTACTTTAGATGAAGGTTTACAGAGCAAACTAGTATCTCATCAAACAATTAATACACATATTGTTTTGTGACACTGGTTAGCCAACCCTACAACGTGTCAACACTCTCCCCTTCTTGACCATGAGTTCCCCATTATCAGCTTTCCTGTCCCCTCCTGCCTTCTCGTCCTTGCCCCGGGTTGGTGTGCCCACTTAGTTTCATTTTGTTTTATGGGCCTGATAATCTTTGGCTGAAGGGTAAACCTCAGGAGTGACTTCATTACTGAGCTAAAAGGGTACCTGGGGGCCATACTCTTGGGGTTTCTCCAGTCTCAGTCAGACCAGTAAGTCTGGTTTTTTTTTTTTTTTTAAATTGTGAGTTAGAATTTTGTTCTACATTTTTCTCCAGCTCTGCCTGCGACCCTCTATTGTGATCCCTGTCAGAGCAGTTGGTGGTGGTAGTCGGGCACCATCTAGTTGTGCTGATATACTAAGACTCTTGACCTAGCAGTTTTCGTCAAAACCACGACTCCTTGAGGAGAAGTTATGCTTGCCAGAAAGTTCACAATTTGGAATCTGGTTGTTAATTATTCCCCCACTGATCTGCCCAAGCTCTTGTGAGTTAGCTACTTGATAAGGCCTATTTTAACTTTATTACTTTCCTCGTTTTGTGGGGGGGGAAATGCCAGTTACAGGGTCGCATAGTGAATGCACTGTGAAGGTGAGAAGAGGACTCTTGATCACCATTTTACTCTCCATTTGAGGGAGAAAATAAGTGTACCAAAAAAGAAAAAAAAAAACCAAACCAAACCTGTTGCCTTCAAGTCAATTCTGACTCATAGTGACCCTATAGGACAGAGAAGAACTGCCCCATAGGGTTTTGAACTGGTGGATTCGAACTGCCAACCTTTTGGTTAGCAGTTGAGCTCTTAACCACTGGGCCACCAGGGCCCCTAAGTGTACCATTATTCACCTAAATCAGAAAACCTTAGCAGTTCTTGACTTTGATTGCATGCTGGAATTGCTTGGGGAGCTTTAAAAAACAGGGATGTCTGGGTCCCACCCCCAGAGATTCTGTTGTAATTGGTCTGGTATGCAGCCCAGGCACAGGAATTTTTAAAGCTTCCCAGGGGATTTTAATGTGCAGGCCAGGCTGAGATGCACGGCACTCCAACGCCCGCCCCAATGTTAAACTTTGCCCAGCTTAATATGACTTGTTTGAAATTATCAGTTGTTTACAAAAGTGATTCTCAGATAATCTAATGGCTTCGAGTAGAAAAGTACCTTAGCTTGTTTCCTACAACCAAAGAACCAACACAAAGCCCCAAGCTCAAGGAATATTTAACTATTTGTTAACATTTATCCTAATCAAAAGGTCATTTTTCAAATGAGACTTTCTGTCAGCTAAATTCTCTATATGCTAGAGCTTAATCCCTCCTACCTATCTACTTAATAATTTGATCCCTTGCAAAATCTCATTTTCTTGATGCTGAAAAGATTTTCTAATTGTCTAGACTATTAAAAACCCATTGCTGTCCAGTCAATTCTGACCCATTGTGACCCTATAGGTAAGATTAAAGATAGTCAGAATATTTTATGCTAAATGTAATATTGGCCATGTCCAGTCACCTAAAATTCATCTGATTTCATTCTCATTAGCAAAGCGAAAACCCAATGGCTAAAGGGGAGTTCTAGTTCTTCCTTATATGACTCTTCGTTTCTCTAGACTGAACCTAGGTGTGGAGCCTCTGGATGTCACAAACGGTGAAGTGATAGACTACATCAGCCTACTAGCCGAAAAGCTGGTGGTTTGAACCTCCAGAGACCCCTCAGAAGACACGCCTGGTGATCTGCTTCTGAAAGTTCACAGCCTTGAAAACTCTCTGGAGCAGTTCTACTCTGCACACATGGGGTAGCTATGAGTCAGAACTGCCTCAACAGCAGCCAACAACAGAAAATAACCTAGGTGTAAGCACTCTACGTGTAATTTAGTCAAAATCAACTTGCAGACAAAAACACAAACCAGAGAGAAACAAACAGGTAGGTCTTATCAATTTTTTTTTTAACAAAATAAGTGATGCTACAGGAATCTAGAATTTCCGGTACTGCACTTTAAAACCAAATACTTACATTTTCTAGGAGACAAACAGCAGCAGGATTCCCACGAAATGCTTTTGCTGTGAATGCATCTGCTATGAAAATAGGGAGCCTCATTTTTCTTGCAAGCTGTGTCTGCAAGCTCTCAAGATTGCTGGTAGCCTGCTTTACTTCTAGTTGTTGCAAAAAAAAAAATCAAAAAGTTAATGTTTTACTTGGTGTAAAGAAGCAACTAGCAGTTCCCAGACACAAAGTTAAGCAATTATTTCTAATACATCTGTATTTAAAGATATGTGTTTCAAAATACTGGATAAATAGAATGCTTCCTTTTCAAATTTTGTATTGAGTTGTCATATTCTACCTATAACTTAAAGGCACTATCATATCCTTTCGGTTGGTAACCGAGTGCTTTAACCATTCTGCCACCAGTACCCCTGAATTTTACCCTATACGTACAGTTAAATTTATTTTCAGAAACAGTGTACAAATTTAGACACAATAGGAGACTGTCCCACCATTGCTAATCTGCTAGATGAAAAATAATATCTTGAGTTTTCATTTGCCTTTTTCTTGGATTATTCTAACCAGATTGTAAGCAGCATGAAGTTGGGACTTCTTGCTTTGCTTCTCTGCTATAGTCCCAGCTCCTAGAATAAGGCCTGGCATACAATATTTATTAAATTAATTAATTAAGGAAGTAAATAATATGCTGAGTAAATAAATACCAAAGCTGGACTTTCATACACTGGCTGAGAAGTACTTAGGATTTCTCATGATGGTGCCACCTGCCAGCCAGCATTTCGGATGGACTCTGACTCATAGCAACCCTATGTACAACAGAACAAAACACTGCCCGGTCCTGCGCCATCCTCACAACCGTTCCTATGCTTGAGCCCATTGTTGCAGCCACTGTGTCAGTCCATCTCATTGAGGGTCTTCCTCTTTTTTTCTGAGCCATTTTTAACAGTATCACCATTTTTAATAGTATATTACAGTTTATTTATGCAATTGTTTAGAAATTTTATTATATATTGTCTTTATTATTTAAGGAAAATTGAATACAGAATGGAAATACAACTTTTATAAATTTAATAGAATTGAGACTAATATAGAAAGAATAACCTGTGGGGGCTTGTTAAAACAGAGATTGCTAGACTCCATGCCGAGAGTTCCTGATTTTGTGTGTCTGTGGTAGGACGCAAGAATTTGCATTTCTAACGAGTTCCCCAGTGAGATGTCGCCCTTGGAGAATTGCTACAAAAAGAGCCTGAAATTTCTAACACCATAAATTCATAAGAAATCTTTTTCTCAAATGTATTGTATAATTTTTTTTCCTCAGTCAGAAAGTAGAGAGAGGAAGTCTTTTGACTAATTTTGTAATCAATTCATGTCCCAGTTTGTACTATATAGTGACAGATTATGCTTAAGGTAGGACTCACATAAACAATTTAATTTTCAAATCGCTGTGTATTTCCTAAACGCCAGGCACATGCTAGACTTTGGGAGATAAAATGATGACCAGGCCACTATCCCTCTCTCAAGGAATTCACAGCCAGTAGGGAGGCCAACATAAAAGTTATGAGAGAATAGAGACAGAGATAGAATGCTTAGGAACATAATGAGGGAGGAATAACTCTACTCAGAAGACAGAGTGAGCTCCAGAGATTAGGTGACATTTGAGTGAATCCAAAAACCCAAGATAGAGTTTGGTCGTCCCAGAAGGTGGGAACAGGCATTTTAGGCAGAGAACGTGGTTTGTTCACAGGACAAGCAGTTGGATATGCAAATAGAGGGGAGAAGAGGGTAGGAGAAAGTGGAGACATGGCTATGAAGACCTGTGGGAGCCAGTGTTCACGATTTGCTCTTCATCTTTGTGAGTCTGGAAATCCACAGTTCAGTTCAACAGCTACTGCGTGTCAGGCAACATGCTAGGCTCCAGGGAGAGTTGGAAGGTTCAGAAATAAGTGAGCCATACTCGTCCACCTTGAGGATCTAATGTGGAATTTATTTCTGAGGCTTTCTCCCTCTCTCTCTTTCTTGCTCTCCTTAAAATTAATTTTGATTCCTTTTCTGTAAGGGATGTCTAAATTCTGACTGAGAAACCTCCCATGAAGTGCTGAGAGAAAACTTAAGGCAGGTAAAGTTTAAGCAACTTACCTTTCTTTACCTAATGGGGAGGAGGGGGCCGTGGCACAAATTCTGGCATCCTGGTCAACCTAAGCTGTAGCCATCCAGTAGGACACTGTCTTCCAGAGTTTTTCATATGACCCAAATAATTTAATTTATACCTTTTCAGTTTCACTCACATTCCGTTTGGATCCCTAGAGCGGCTGTATATGCCCCTCAATAATGCCAAACAAATATGGTGTTTAAATAGAAATCAATTACCCCCAGAAGGTACAAGCTCATAAATCTAAATTCCTATGATTTCTCAATCACTCCCATGTTTTTCTTAACTCTTTTTAAAACATTAGTTTTTAATTACCAATTAGTATATGAATATCATCTCCTTATTAACAAAACAGCACAGAACACACTAAAGTCTCCTTCGACAATCCTCTGTCCCACCATCTTCTGGAGAGGTCCACCTGGTTTGTTTTTGAGAACACTGCAGACTCCACCCTGAATTTTCATCTTGGTTCCATTTACCATGTAAATACAGGGAAATCATAGATCTCCCTTGTTCAAATATCTTCGTCGTTAAACCTGCTCCTGGGTGTGCTTGAGAACACCGATGCTTATTTGTCATTCTGTAATAGTTTGTTTACGGTCGCCTATGGCTACAGACACAGAAAGTTGATTCATGTTATTCTTTAGTTTTTATCATAAAAGAACCCACTTAGTTTTTGCCTATGACTGCTGCCTCAAAACTAGACTACTCATTAATAAATGCCAGTTTAGTTTTGTGAAAATGTAAATATTGAATAATAGAGTACTGGCATTTAAAGTGTACCTAGACACTATCTACTTTACCGGTTGGCTAAAAAAAAAAAAAAAAAGAACATAAAACAGAATTACAAATTGTAAGTAAAATCAATTTTAAATCAAAATTCTGAAGAAAATTAATTTTTAAATTAGTTTTACATTATATACGTGTATATATGTGTGTGTATACATATGTGTGTGTTTGTATCTGTGTAAGGGGCCCTGGTGGTGCAACAAACTCAAAGTTTGGCGATTGAAATCGACCCAGCTGCTCTGCAGGAGAAAGACCTGGTGATCTGCTCCCATAAAAATTTTGTTGCTTTTGTTGTGTGCTGTGGAGCCGATTTTGACTCACAGCAACCCTATAAGATAGAGTAGAACTCCCCCATAGGGTTTCCTAGGCTATAACCTTTATGGAAGCAGATCACCAGGTTTTTTCTCCCACGGAGCCGCTGGTGAATTTGAACTGCCGACCTTAACCATTGGGCAACTAGGACTCCTCCCCATAAGGATTACAGCCTAGGAAACCCTATGCAGCAGTTCTACTCTGTTCTTATAGGGTCGCTATGAGTTGGAATCAACTCCACAGCACATGACAACAAATATATATATTTCAAACTACTTAGTGTTTATTCTTGTGTATATTTCCTAGATTTAATAGAAGCCCCAGAATACTGCTTTTGTTAAAATATTTATAGTCTAGTTCTAAATTTCTCAACTACATAACTACATTTATGTTTAAACATCCACTGTTTTGAAAATGTTTTACTTTTCGGTTGAAATTTAGGGTTCTCTCCTTATCATCATGATTTATAATTTATAAGCCAAATTTTATAGAAGCACTTTGACTCTTTGAAAACAAAATCTGCTAGATAGATGGAAAAACATACCATGCTCATGGATAGGAAGACTCAACATTGTGAAAATGTCAATTCTACCCAAAGCAATTTACAGATACAATGCAAAAACCAAAACCAAACCCACTGCCATCGAGTCAATTCTGACTCATAGCAACGCTGCAGAACAGAGTAGAACTGCCCCATAGAGTTTCCGAGGCTGTAATCTTTACAGAAGCAGACTGCCACATCTTTCTCCTGCAGATGCAATCCCAATCCAAATACCAACAGCATTCTTTAACAAGATGGAAAAACTAATCACCAACTGTATATGGAAAGGAAAGAGGCCCCAGATAAGCAAAGCATTACTGAAGAAAAAGAACAAAGTAGGAGGCCTCACACTACCTGATCTCAGAACCTTCTATACAGCCATGGTAGTCAGAACAGCCTGGTACTGGTACAACAAATGACACATAGACCAATGGAACAGAGTCAAGAACCCAGATGCAAAGCTATTCACCAATGGTTTGCTTATCTTTGACAGATGACCAAAGTCCATTAAATGGGGAAAAAACAGTCTTTTTAACAAATGGTGCAGGTGAAACTGGTCGTCCATCTGTAAAAAAATGAAACAGGGATCCATACCTCACACCATACACAAAAACTAACTCAAAATGGATCAAAGGCCTAAATATAAAACCTAAAACAACAAAGATCATGGAAGAAAAAATAGGGACAACACTAGGGGCCCTAATATATGGCATAAATAGAATACAAACCATAACTAACAATGCACAAACATCAGAAAATAAAGTAGATAACTGGGAACTCCTAAAAACTAAACACTTGTGCTCATCAAAAGAACAAAAAGAGAACCTACAGATTGGGAAAAAAATTTTGGCTATGACATATCTGACAAGGGTCTAATCTCTAAAATCTATATAATACTTCAATACCTCAATAACAAAAAGATAAATAATCCAATTAAAAAATGAGCAAAGGATATGAACAGACACTTTACCAAAGAAGACAGTCAGGCAGCTAACAGACACATGAGAAAATGCACAAGATCATTAGCCATTAGTGAAATGCAAATCAAAACTACATTGAGATACCATCTCATCCCAACACTACTGGCACTAATAAAAAAAATTTTACAACAAAACAGAAAATAACAAATGTTGGAGAGGTTGCAGGAAGATTGGAGCTCTTACGCACTGCTGGTGGGAATGTAAAACGGTACAACCACTATGGAAAACAATATGGCTCCTCCTTAAAAAGCTAGAAATAGAAATACCATATGATCCAGCAATCCTACTCCTAGGAATATATCTTAGAGAAATAAGAGCTGTCAAACAAATAGACATATGCACACCCATGTTCATTGCAGCATT